ATAGCACAGCCATGCCAAATAGTGACAGATGGTTTTAATACTTACTCTCAGTGTCTGAACTCACCTCTCTTAAGACTGGTTAGGGGACTGTCAGCCCCGTGACCACACTTTGAGTTGTAATGTCCTCGAGTTCCTTTTTTCTAAACCAAACCATTAGTCCTTTCAATCATCCTTCATAGAAGGTTGTGATGTCTAGATCACTGGCCAACCTGATTACTCTACTCTAGAAATATATCCCATTCCATGGGCCCCTTAAGCTGTGGCCCGATGTTCCTAATGTATGTTACCGGTGCAGAATACAATGGGACTGCACCTCCCAAGTGTTGAGATCCATGCTTTTGGGCAAATATCCTAAGGTGAATGTCTTGGTTTGGTTACCACATTACATGGTTAACTCACATTAAGCCTAAATCTGGTACAATCCTCAAGACTATTGATAGGAACAAAGATTGTTCCATCCCACACATCCTGCAATAGATTTGTAAAGTTAAGTTCTTCGTGTTTAACTTCATGGAATTTCATCTTATTAACAGGCCATCCTTCAATTCTGTTAAGATTGTTATGCATCTCAAATCAGTATTCTCTAACAACAATAATTAGTTTCATCTTGCACCTTAAGATTTATCTGGCATTTTCACATATACTCTCATTTGATTCTATTGGCAAACCATGCCAGATGTGGATTGTTATCATTTCCATTTTACAGCTGAGAAAATTGAGTCTCAAAGTGAGTGCCTTACTTAAGATGGTTTAGTGAGACCTGAATGGATGGGATGGGGGCGGGGTGGAAGGGAGGTCCAGAAGTGAGAAGACAGACGTGTACTTACAGCCGATTCACTTCATTGCACAGCAGGAACTAACACAGCACTGAAAAGCAGTCGTCCTCCAATTAAAAATAAATAACAGCAAAAAGAGCACCTAGTGAATAATCTGTGCCATCTTCTCAGTTTAAAAACATGGATCCTTCTGACTCATTCAACTTATTCTTAAAATGGACACAGCCTGGAGGCGTCCTGCGTCATTTGCTTTCAGTCTTTCCATCACCCTCTCTGGTGGAGTTACTCAACCAGCTACTCACAAAACGCTCTGTAGCCTCCAGCAGTTTGGCGTCTTGGCCTTTTGTGAGTTCCTGGCTGAAATCCAGACACACGTGTCCCTAGTATTTCCCTGGTTTACTAAATTGCTGAGAGAATAAAGTTAGTTTGGTGTGTCTTTTTATCATAAAAACATCTGACTCCTAGAGGTTTCCATTTTGCATTTCTAAATAATCACAAACTATTTGTGTCTAGCCTCAAAAAAAAAAAAAAAAAAAGATGAAATCTGATCATCTCCTAAAGAGTACACCTTACATTTATTATTGGAGAGTCTGCTATGTCCCTGACCATCTGTTGGTCCCTGAGTATATAAAAAACTAAAACTGTGGTGTTTTTCATGCTGTGAATCAAGGCCCATTGGTAGATCATCAGATGAAGCTAATGGGTTGCAAACAACATTAAAAAAAAAAATGAAACAGACTAAACTAGAATATAAAATATCAGAGGATAAAGATAACTGTGATAGCATAAATTTATGTATTTATTTATTTAGCTTTAGTGTAATTTGTATATGTGCCTTGAGTTGTGCTGGAATTTTTCTTTTTTATGAGCAGCTAACATGTATTGAGCACTTAGTATGTTCCATATACTGTTATCAGTGCTGTATTACTTCCTTTTTTCCTTCCTCAGTTTTATTGAGATATAATTGACATATAGCACTGTATCAGTTTAAAGTGTACAGCGTGATTTGACTGACATACATCATGACTACCACAGTAAGTTTAGTGAATATCATCATCATCCCAGAGATACAATGCTAAAGAATAGAAAAAAAAAAATGTTTTTCCTTGTGATGAGAACTCTTAGGACTTACTCACTTAACAACTTACATATATAACATACACAGTGTTCATTATATCTATGGTGTTTTACCTTGCATCTCTAGTACCCATTTATAACTAAAAAAATGTATTTCTTATTGTATGTCACTATCAGTAGTTTCAAAGATCCTGCGCCAGTGGGAAAAAACAGACACAGAATCGTGTCAATACCCTCTGGACGTACTCTGATAATTGCATACTAAAGAAGATAGGTATCTTTTCCTTTTTTCTTTGTTTTATTTTTGTTTTTTATTGCTTTGATTTTTGTTTGTTTTGATTCAAGCCATCTAAATACTGCAAAATTTCCCTGAACTGTTTGCCTTTTTCCCCAGGAGTTTACCACTTTTTCACATGCTTCTGTTGGGTTGTAAATATCTCTTTTTGCCCAGAGCCAGTATAATAAGCTCTTAGAGCCCAGCAGACAGGAGCGGGCTTTCCATCCCTAGCCCACAGTGCCCAGCTTGGCATCTTTTCTAAACCAACATAAAGAAGTCCTTCTCCAACTAGTATGTGGTTTGCTAGCATCAGTAACCAAGTTTGGGATTGCTTTAGAGAGCTCATTGGAGCCAACACTAGATGTTGTAGTTTCTATTTTAAAAATCTGTATTTTCTTTAAAAGCATATCCTTCTTTTGCCTTCTCAGAAACTGTTTGCTAAAAGGTTTTTTTCAGAATGTTTACTTAATATCAACTTCTCCTAGCTTCCTGAAATATGACATGAAAATCCAATAAACTCAACCTTCAAACTGTCACAGTACCTGATATTTAAATAGCCCTTAGATGTCAGGGTTTATTGTATCCATCGCAGGGAAAGAGGAGGTAGAAAATGCTATGAAGAAAGGATATTTTTGAGTCTTCATCCTAGAGTCTTGCCCTTTTTCCATTTGTGCAACTTTTTAAGCTCTTTCGCCAAAGTTTTGTGCAACTTTCTTAAAATTCAAAGATAATTTCCCACCATGCTGCCACAGCTATGAAATTCTCTGTGATTGCCATGGTTTTCTACTTTCTTCCACCTTATACTTGAAAGTTCAAATTTGTTATGTAGTCTAGTCCCTGTGAACCTAGATTTTCAGGGAATAAGAATGGAAGGATCCCACATTCACTGACTGAGCATCTGTTTATTTTTCCTTGAAGACAATATATTGCGATGTCCAGAGGAGTTAAGGTAGCTGCCAGATATATAGAAAGATGGATAAGATCTTACACAGACAGGAAGCACAGATGCAGCTGAACAAACACGAGAAAATAACAAATAAGCCAAAATACCCCTCAATGAAAGATTAGTCAGTGCATTATTTCATGTAATCCCCAAAGCAAACCTATGATGCAGAACCAATTTTCAGTCCCATTTTATAAATGCCATTTTATAAATGATAGAAATGCACTTTGGAGAGAGTAAGCAACTTTCAGACAGTCACCTAAGTCTAACTGGTACTGCTTGCACTGGCAACCAGGTCTGAGAACTGGATGCCAAGGTAAAGTGAAATAACACTTAGTCCAATTAATATATATATACACACATAGAAAGAGAGCAGTTACTCTCAGCTCGGCATTGGGGAAGATATAATTATGAATATGACACAGAAACGCAGGCCCTTGACCTGATGAGTTTATCTGTAACAGTTGAGAGTAGGTGCATGGGACATGAGATTAAGATAGCATTATAATAAATGTTACAATAAAGATCTAAATGCTACAGGAGCACAGTGGAAGCATAGTCACTGCCTTGGGGCTGTCAGGAATGCATCAAAGAGACCCATGAAGCTGAGTACCCAAGAATGGTCAGGGACCAGGGAAGGACAGGGAACCATATAAACCTTTTAGGATCTTAATCCTGTCACAGAGCTGGGTATTGGACCTAGTTGCAGGTCAGGGAGCAGAATGCAGGAAGATGGGGAGGAAGCATTAACATAAGAAAAGCACACTGGAGTCAGGTTGAAAGAGCTTCAGGTTGAAAGTCAGGTTGAAAATGCCATACCCAGACTTCAGAGAGCTAAGGGGAACGAAAAGTGTCTAAACTGGGAAACCCTGTGATTGCACTTGGATTACACTGTGGAAAGTCGTTTAGATGGAGAGGATGTTGGCCCGGTTTTTACTGTAATAACCCAGCCAGAGGTGCCAAGGGCCCGCACTGGGGAATGAGAGTGAAGATATGAACGAGGGAGCAGATTTGAGAACCATGTCAGAGTCGGGTCTTGGTAATACACATAATGAAGAGGAGGAAGGAATGGATGATCCAGTTCATCTGGAAAGGAAATTATTTATATGTCTGTGCTGGGCGGGGCCCAGGGATTTGCAAAGATAAACAAAGCCATCTCTGGATTCAGGGAACCCAGACTCTTCTGTCTCAGGGGCTACAAATTCAGGCAGAACCCAGACTTAAGAGAAATGTGTGAGGTGTATGACAGAGCAAAATGGTGGGGCCATAGCACCCAGATACCCATGTCCCAGGAAGGAGCTCGGATCCAGGGCTGACTAAAAACAAGAAGGCTGGCCTGGTGGTGCTGGCTGAGATGGGACCTTCCTCCGCCAGGAATCTCTAGAATGGCTCCCAAATTTCCACTTCCAGGAATTTGGAGATAATTTGGCTGTTAACTTGCATGGGAACATATGCTAAGAATCAAGTCTGGGAGACTAAGGAGTATTGGCTTTGAGATCTAGTGACTCTGAGGCTCAGAAGAGGAAAGCTAGAAATATGGTCCTAGGGCTCCATAAAGAGATGGAAAGAAGTAAGTGCCTTCTATGGTAAGATTAAGTTTCTACTCAAAAAGGGAGAACTGCAGGTGTTTTATATTTAGCCTGTCTAGCCAGATGGTAATTACATCCTCTATAATCAGTCCATGAAGCTTCTTATAGAGGAGGGAAGGAAAACTGAAGGCAAGAGCGCTGGACGGGTTGGAAAGGGATCTTCCAGCTACTGGGAAGGAAGAGGGCATCCAGGACAATAAAGATGGGGGAGGGACCAGCAAAAGGGTCCACCCGTGAGAGGGAGGGAAGGACGAGGTGGTGGTGCTGTGCCCACGCTCCCTGGACTGCCCTCTCCACCCCTGCCACCCTTACATTAGCATCCTGCTGCTGTTTTCCAGGGTGACGACTCCGATGAGGAAGATCTCTGCCTCAGCAACAAATGGACTTTCCAAAGAACCAGCCGCCGGTGGTCTCGCGTGGACGACCTCCACACACTGTTTCCTGGAGGAGACAGAAATGGGTTGTCGGGAGACATTAGGATGAGAAACACGACCAGCAGTGAAAGCGTCCTCACGGATCTGAGCGAGCCCGAGGTCTGCTCCATTCACAGCGAAAGCAGCGGCGGGAGCGACGGCCGCAGCCAGCTGGGCGGGCACGGCGCCGGCCAGGAGGCCTTCGAGGGCCCCGGGCAGTACTGCGCCGACGGCCCGGTCATGCTGGACGCCGCGCTGGTGGGCCACAGCCTCCTGCCATCCCCCAAAGACGGGCTCCAGCACCCTTTGCACCCAAAGAATGAGAAGCCCAGCCGGGCCAGAGCCAAGTCGTTCCTGAAACGCATGGAAACGCTGCGAGGGAAAGGCGCGCAGGGGAGGCACAAGGGGCGGACCGGGGGCCTGGTGATCAGCGGTCCCGTGCTGCAGCAGGAGCCCGAGTCTTTCAAGGCCATGCAGTGCGTCCAGATCCCAAATGGACACCTCCAGAACTCGCCCCCCGCCACCGGCACTGCCGGGCTTCCTGGCCCCACCAAGTGGGGTGCTGAGGGCAGCCCCTCAGAGAATAGCAGCAGTGGGGGGAGCACGCCTGGCCTGAAGGAGCGGAGGGGCCAGGAGGCCCACAAGCGCGGGGGCATGTACCTCGAAGACCTGGATGTGCTTTCGGGGACAGCGCTGCGGGACTCGGGGGACCGAAACCACCATGCGCATGAGTTTCACTCCCAAGAGAACTTGGTGGTGCATGTCCCCAAGGACCACAAGCCAGGAACCTTCCCCAAGGCACTCTCTATCGAGAGCCTCTCGCCAACAGACAACAGCCACGGGGCGAACTGGAGGACCGGGAGCATCTCCCTGGGCAGACAGCCCAGCCCGGGGGCCAGAGAGCCCAGGCTCATGGGGTCCTGCCACAGAGCGAGTCGGGTAAGCATCTATGACAACGTCCCCGGCTCCCACCTGTACGCCAGCACCGGGGACCTTCTGGACTTGGAGAAGGATGACCTCTTCCCTCACCTGGATGACATCCTCCATCATGTCAACGGGCTCCAGGAGGTAGTGGATGACTGGTCCAGAAACATGTTACCCGAACCACAGACACACAGCGCCGGAGAGGCTGGCTTCTCCCCCTTCCCCTCTCCCAATCAGATCACCTTGGATTTCGAAGGCAACTCTGTCTCCGAAGGTCGGACCACACCCAGTGACGTGGAAAGAGACAGAGCGTCTCTTACTGAGTCAGAGGCCGCTGGGGTCAGAGAAAGGAGGGACTCGGGAGTAGGGGCCTCTCTGACCAGGCCAAACAGGTTGGTGGCATGGCTTTGTGAAATGAGGTTTAAATCCATTTCATAATAATTATGGTCTGTTTATTTAACAAACATTTATAGAGTACCTTCTAAATGTTTAACACTGGTCTAAGCGATGTATGCAGTTGGGAATTATTTGAACAGTAGTATGTCTTTTGTGCAGATTGAATCCATGTTAACTCATATTTCTTTCTCCCAGTGTTTACCCTTTAATTCAATCTTGGTTTTATGCAAAAAAAATAATAATAATTGAGCTTCTTATGTGCAAAGCACTGATAACGAGGCCCATTGCCTGTGCACAGGCTCTTCCCATGACCTTGCCAAGCATCTCTTTTGCCAAATCTTAAATTAAAAAGTTCTATGAGAAATTTCTGAGATCTACGGTGTATACAGTACTTCATATGTTTATTTTGACTTTAAAATGCAGATTACAAAGCACATAAAAGCTGTTTTACTATGACCATTTCACAAGCACCTTAGATAAATGGCCCTGGAAGGGGGTAACCAGTAGGGTCTCTCCTGAGGCAGTGATGTCTCTCGGGCTCACTGCTCTGCGATCATGTCAGGAGAGCTTCATCTGCACCTGTCACAAGTCAAGAGTGTGGAGTCAGGACGGCAGTGTGACGGTACTCTCCAGCTCCCAAATGTGTGTGCTCTCCGTCTCCGCCTCTGTCTATCTGAACGTCTCTCTCTCTCTTACACACACAGTCTCAGGTGCTTTCAACACTGTGGGAATGGATTTAGGAATAAACCAACACAAAAAAATTATTATTTTTTTTCCATTTATTTTTATTAGTTGGAGGCTAATTACTTTACATCATTGCAGTGGTTTTTGTCATACATTGAAATGAATTAGCCATGGATTTACATGTATTCCCCATCCCGGTCCCCCCTCCCACCTCCCTCTCCACCCAATCCCTCTGGGTCTTCCCAGTGCACCAGGCCCGAGCACTTGTCTCATGCACCCAACCTGGGCTGGTGATCTGTTTCACCCTAGATAATATACATGTTTCGATGCTGTTCTCTTGAAGCATCCCACCCTCGCCTTCTCCCAGAGTCCACAAGTCTGTTCTATACATCTGAGTCTCTTTTTCTGTTTTGCATATAGGGTTATCATTACCATCTTTCTAAATTCCATATATATGTGTTAGTATACTGTAATGGTCTTTATCTTTCTGGCTTACTTCGCTCTGTATAATGGGCTCCAGTTTCATCCATCTCATTAGAACTGATTCAAATGAATTCTTTTTAATGGCTGAGTAATATTCCATGGTGTATATGTACCACAGCTTCCTCATCCATTCGTCTGCTGATGGGCATCTAGGTTGCTTCCATGTCCTGGCTATTATAAACAGTGCTGCGATGAACATTGGGGTGCACGTGTCTCTTTCAGATCTGGTTTCCTCGGTGTGTATGCCCAGAAGTGGGATTGCTAGGTCATATGGCAGTTCTGTTTCCAGCTTTTTAAGAAATCTCCACACTGTTTTCCATAGTGGCTGTACTAATTTGCATTCCCACCAACAGTGTAAGAGCGTTCCCTTTTCTCCACACCCTCTCCAGCATTTATTGCTTGTAGACTTTTGGATAGCAGCCATCCTGACTGGTGTGTAATGGTACCTTATATCACTTATTTAAGCCTCCTAACGGTGGCTCCAATGGTAAAGAATCTGCCAGCAATGCGGGAGACCTGGATTCGATCCTTGGGTCAGGAAGATTCCCTGGAGAAGGGAATGGCAACCCACTCCAGCATTCTGGCCTGGAGAATCCCAGGGACAGAGGAGCCTGGCGGGCTACAGTCCATGGGGGTTGCAGAGTTGGACACGACTGAGCAACTAACACCACCAATGAAACAGATAATGACTTCTTCCAAAGTAGTTTCTTCTGTTTGTTCTGTGCATTTTGTGTCTTTCTGCTCCATTTGCTCTGTGATTCTCTTGGCTTGGAAACTATTTTGATTAGCTACTTAAAAATCGGTAACATCCCATGTTTTCTGATAAACCCATCCCCTTTGTGACTGGCTTCTCTGATGGTCTTTCCGGTAAAGGCGACTCCGGTGGAACAGCTTCCAGCTCTCACACCAGCCACAGCCATCTACGGCGTCACCCCACATCAGCGGACAGACAGCCGGCCAGCTGAACCTGCTCCAGCGCTTCTCGCTGCTCCGCCTCACGGCCATCATGGAGAAGCACTCCATGTCCAACAAGCACGGCTGGACGTGGTGCGTAGCCCATTCGCCTTGGAGGGGACCATTCGTTCCAGGGCTCAGTGTGTGATGGCAAGCACTTCAGTGTTTGCTTTCTGAGTTCTGAGGAATCTGTTTGTTGCCTTCACTGCCAGTCTCCTGGGGAAAAAAAAAAATGCCCAGAGTTCTTCCTCAGTGTCTGCCTCTGGGCTGCCAAAGCCTGGATGAGATGTAGCCTGCAGGAAGCATTGCTTTATTTGTAGCTCTCTGTCAGTTTCCAGGGAAGGCAGTCAGGCTCCAAGTAAAGAGTGATCAGTTGTGAACAGAGACATTAAAAATAAACTTGCCATAAAGTAATTCTGGCAGTTTGCAAAGAAAACATCTGTTTCTTGTACCTCCTGGCCCAATGCAGAGCTCCACACTTAGAGCATTGCTTCATTCTGAGAGCACCAAACTCTTCAAATACAGTTCCGCTCTTATTTCACTGGCTAATAAAAACAAGACTATGCAGTAAACCTTTGGAATAAGGAACTCACAAAAGCACATGTTGGAACTTGAATGTGGACTGATTTTAGACAATTTGATGGATTTGGAAAAACATAAGATGTGTTGCTAATTGTCATATGTTATATATTATGCACAAAGAAGAATCGGCAGTGCTTTTATAAAATATAATAAGAAAGTTATAGATTGTGTGGTCAAATCAACATATGCTTGTATATTAAATTTTTCTTTATAAAGTACAACTGGGTCTAGAAAAGTAAGGGAAGATATTAACATAATATTTTATCTTCTCTTCTTTCTCGCCCAACCCCAACCAAATTTCTTCTTCCTGATGTAGTTTTTAATTTTGTTTTGTTTTGTCTTATTGGGGACTTCAAAGTGTTTATCACTTAGAAGTGTGTCCATCACAGTTAAACTGGAATGTCAAGCACTTGATTTGAAAGCAGGGCCATAAATCCATTCTGCTAACGTGAATCACCCTGTTTACCAGTTATAGGCACAGGGCACACACAGTCCTTCCAATGTAATGTGAATAATCAAGGGAGAAATGTTGAATTCCCTGGTGCCTGTCAGATGTTCCAACAAAAGCTTGGCTTCCCTCTTGCTTTCACAGCCTCTCCCCGCAGTGTGCTCCACGAGGCGTGCATGACCTGGTTTCTGTGAATTCTAGGGCAGTTCCAAAGTTCATGAAGAGGATGAAAGTTCCCGATTATCGAGACAAGATGGTCTTTGGCGTTCCCCTCATCGTTCACGTCCAGAGAACTGGGCAGCCGCTGCCACAGAGCATCCAGCAAGCGCTGAGGTATCTACGCAGCAACTGCCTCGATCAGGTAGGGTCGTCAGTCCCAGGCACAGGCCAGGCAGCACAGAGCAGCAGTCAGACCAGATCTGTCCAGGGTCAGACAAGACATGCCTCTCGGAAAGAAAAGGCACTGTCGTCTTTAGAGGTCACTGTTTAATTTTACCAGGTGACATCCTCGTCAAGGCATGCAAAGATGTTTCCTCACTGGCAACTTGAAGGCCACTCTGGAGTGACTGCAGAAAGCTAACGTTGATCATTTGTACCTGTGATGGCTAATTTGTGTTCCCCGGAAACTGGGAGTAAAGCTATCTACTGCGTTTCCTTTTAATTACGGTCTCAATGCCACCATTGATTTCACAGCATTCTTTTATCCCTGTTTGTTTGCTTTTATACTAGAATTAGGTGTTTATATCTCCCGTTATTAATTTTTTCAAAGCAGCACTGTAACTGTTCATATTTTTCAATTTATTTATATATTTTTTAAATGTGCAAGTAAAACATGAAAATATCAGCTAAGTTAAATGTCCCATCATCTTATGGAGTTGATTAAAAAGCTCAAGGTGAACAAAATTTTTGGAGACCATTTTCCGTCTCCAGGACTGTGGGGGCCACCACAGTGGTGGACAATGAATGGCCCAGAGTGCAACCTAGTCTATGATTAACCAGGCCAGGCCTTTGCTCCTCCAAATTAATACTCATTAGTTTCTCCATTAGACATTCTGTCCAAAATAAAAGCCATGTTTCCACTTGATCAATTGCAACCTTGAGTAGTGAGGGTATTTTCAGGCAACTATCCTAAAATGGATTCTATTCATCTTACTCTTTAATACCATGTGAAGAAACTAAGGTTATTTGCACTTTTCATTGATTTACCCTTGGCCTTAAGCTAAGTGGACAGAAATGAGCTAAGCTGCCCAAACTCATGAATTAGTGTCATCTCCACCCCAGTGCTGAGATCATACTTAGAATTAGGATGGTCTCTTGATGAATCAGATAGCAGTTTTCAATGGAAAAGAACAGGAGCAACTTCTGCAATCACTGCCATCACTGATTGAACTCAATGCATTATTCCCTTTTCCTTTCCCACTCTTAATTTAGATAATACACACATCTACATTTTTTCATATTTAGATGTTACCGTGAGGGTAAACATGTTTGCTGTTACCATTGTGGTGGTGATGGCTGCTTTGTTTGAGAAATGGCCTGGATGGTTTCCCTGTTATTTCTCAGAAAGAAAAGCAACAGACCACTTGTCTAAAACTAACAGCACTCATTTTTGGCAGATGCCCCAACATTAATTGATTTGTGAGTAACATCCCAATAGAGCAATCCAATGAAGCTGATAGTTAAGCATTAGATTTTTTTTTTAATTTTAGAACTTTTAACCAAAGGCACACATTAATCAAAAGTAGAAGGTCTATGGGTATTTTATTGAGAAAAATTTTTGGAGAGGTGGGCTCCAACATTTGCCCATACCCTGGGAATTCCCTGGTGGCTCAGATGGGAAAGAGTCTGCCTGCAATGTGGTGCGGGAGACCCAGGTTCAATTCCGGGGTCAGGAAGATCCCCTGGAGAAGAAAATAGCTTCCCACTCCAGTATTCTTGCCTGGAAAATCCCATGGCCAGAGGAGCCTGGCAGGCTACAGTCCATGGGGTCGCAAAGAGTTGGAAACAACTGAGCGGTTCCACTTTTCACTCTAATTAATCTCTTTTGTAGTTCTGAAAGCACTGCCACCATGCCCTTCAGCACAGGACTTTGAAGCTTCAACTGTACTTTTATTGGACTATTAGTATAGACCCAGGATTGTATTATGTGGACAGTAGCCTGCTATTCAGACACATTTTTCCAAACTTCTCAATTTTCATAAAGGTATATGAGACCCATCTTCCTTCTTGGCTGATTCTCTTCGAGTCTTTGACTCTAGTGCTTATCAGCAAATGCTCTATTAAGAGAAAACAGGGTTTGTTCTGGAATGCTTAAAGTAAATGCCGCAGCTCATCTTCACTCAATAACTATAACCTTTCTTAAGTGCCCAGCATGTTTCAGGGATATTAGGTATCCTGCGCTCACTGCCTCATTCAATCCCGTATCCACCCAGGGCAGGGTTAGCCCCCAGGTGGCAATGGTGGAGCCAACATTTGCTTGAAAATCTTTCTCCAGGGTCCAAGTTTTTAACAAATGCATTTCACTACCACCCGTTAGAATTGCTTGTCCCCAGTGCTTTTGGGGTGAGGCCACCTCTGGCATTGAGGGACACTTTGAGAAGTGGCCCTAAACAACTCACTGATGGATTCAGTGTCAGGATTGTGTTGATGATGCTATTCGTTGTATCATGTGGTGTCTTCTCTGTAAGAACCAAAGAATTTTTCTTCCTCAGGCCCCAGCACCTGAAAGCATTGTTATTTTGGGGAAAACTGACCTGTCTATATTAGGTACAGCAGGCTCATTCAGCTGGATATGTTTTCCTCTCTACATTGGCTGCAAGAATTATTGAGGCCAAATGCACATTCTGCCTATAGTTAATATATGTAACGTGAGGGCATGCGTGAATTTTGTGTGTGAACCTCATTCCTACTTCCTGCTCTCCTTTTCTATCTTTATTTTCCTATTGCTCTGATGGTCTCATCTATGATCCTTAATTTATAGATCACTGTCAGTCACTTTGAATTCTTTCCTAAACAAGATTGGCTACACACGCATTGTAATATCACCACTCTACTCACCACATAGTCTTTATGTAGAACAGAAACCAGTCCTGCCCCTGTAGACTCCAAATAAACATGTGTCACCAGCACTGCTGCTGTTATTGACGCCAGTCTCCTGTTTGAAGCAAAAGTCATTCACATGGAGAGAAGGAGAGTGGAACCAAATCCCCCTCAACCCCTGCTCCCTGGCTTATGCTTATTCCCTGTCTCCGTTTCAGGCCTGTAACTATTTTCTTTCTTTCTTTTTTAATCTGGATGAACACCACCCTGAAAAACAGCATGCTGACAAAGCTTTATAAGAAAAAGGCTCATTTCATGGACATGGATACTGACTAAATATAAACACAATGAACAGGTCAACCCTTCTCTTGTCTCCGTCAAAAGAAAGAATCTGTCAGATGTCAAAGGGACTTTTGCCTTAGCCAGGCTCTCTCTTAGGAGGCACTCCATGCTGGCAATGACTCCCACCTTCATCAGCAAAGAGTGTGGGGGGGCACACAGAGGGCCCCCTCTGGCCCCTGCAGAGAAGGCAGGCAGCAACAGTAAGCGATGAGGGGGAAGTAGAGAAACATAATAAGAAAACCAGGCTCAGGAGGAAGACTCTCCTAGAGATTTAAGAGCCAACTCAAGCAAATAAAAGCCAGTGAATCAGAAAAGAAAGAGGGACCAAAGAATAAGGAAGGAGAACCCGCCAGATAAGTGTTCTTCCTTCACCAATGGCACCTCCTCTGAATCAAAGACTCAGGTCTACACAGGATCATGAGACCCCAGCCCCACGACTGTGCAGGACCAAAGGGTCTAGGATACCCTTCCTCTGAAGCACACTTGACTGACTTCTCTGCTCCTCCTTTTACGTGGTCCCCTCCAACCACCTTCTAGGGCTGTCCCAAGGCTCAGCCTCCCTGCTCCGCCCCTTCCCCTCAGGCTAAGCATTCTTCTCAAACAGAAGGACATCACAAACAGCTGAAGACAGCCCGACAGAGCCCTGGAACAGGGCCACCTACATCCCCAAGTACAGAACGTCTTCTTCGTGATAAAACACAGTGTATCCATTTTCACCTGAGCAGTTGGCTGGAGATGAAATACGGATGTTTACCTTTGATTATGAATCATTTCAGACATGGCAGTGTGTGAAAGGAACCAGGCTCTGTTGGCTGAGCTTTTATTTCTGCCCTAAATCAGCTGCATAGAAGGGTAGATGATACCCAGGTTATACCCAGCTCCTGATGAGTACAGAGTCATGGCAGTGAGTGGCCAAACCTACAAGGCTCCATATTAGAACCCGCTACATACTGCTCTCAGGCACCTTTCTCTTTCTGGATAAAACCAACCTTTCTTCATTAGTGGTGCACATCCCTCAAGAAGAGGAAACACAAGTCCTGATAAACATCATTAAGTGCTGAAAGGATTAGCATAAGCAGGATGCCAAATAGGAGACTTAACATTATTTAGATGAAACTTGAATTCTAATGTAACACTCATGCCCACGCTCTCCTTCTAATGGAGTAGTAAGTTTTAAAAGCCCAATTATGCCGTGAAGACACTTCATACTCAGTACAAGTGTCCTCAACCTGCTGCCTACCTAACATCATAAAATGAGTGATGTTCCTGGGTCTGTCTTTTTAAATTACACGTTGAGTCCTTGCTTTTCAAAGCTGAGTGTTTAGGTGGAAGACTAAAGAGAGAGGACAGTAAAACCAGACCAGAGGGGCACTCATCATTCATCCTTTTACCCTGAAAATGAGAGATGACGTGCAAGAGAGAAGCTTATGAAATGGATTTTGCATTGCTGACCACTACTCTTCCCTATTAAGAGAGGATGTTGGAGCCATGCTTTCTGGTACGTAAAAGCAGGCCCTGCTGTGTAATTTGTGTAGTCTTGTGCAAAATGAAAAGTGCATGGAGATTACGAAGAATTTCAAAATGGCGACCACAGTGCGTTAAACTAATCGTGGGTCCACATGTGACTACCCAGGTCACCAGGCCACCAGCAACAGACACAGAAGCAAATGAGAGACATTTCACACATCTTGGGTCTTCTTCATAATGAAGCTGAAGAGCCTGGGGTTGCCTCCCATCAGCCACAATGACCACGGTGCCCTTAGAAGAAACGCATTTTCAGTGGTTTCTTTGGTCCTCCACTTTTTACTTGCAAAAAGAAATTAGTCAGAAATAACACATTTTATCACAGTTCTGAAAGCTTTTTGAAGAGGAAGTGATGGTTGGCAATCCTGGGAACCCCCAGCCCTGGCTGCTCTATGATGATGGATAAGAAAAGCTCTTCCCTCTGATCCCAGAAAAAGCTTCTACTTACCTCACCAGGGAGTTGTCCATTGCAGGGACCTGAAGCCCCACCCCCAAACTGCTTAAACAATAGAAAATTCCCACAGTCACATAACAAGGCAGATAGTAGGGCAGTTCTTCCATCAGGTCAGTGCCATTTTTTAAGACAGGGGCCCTTCCCATCTCTCTCTTCTGCCATCCTCAGTACTCCATCTGGAATCTGATTTCAGACCACCTTTACTTTTACTAGACTTAGGAAAAAAAAAAAATTCCTTTGGTGCTTCCAACAAAAATCCACAGAATCCACAGATATTTCCCACGTCCCCTGGAAGATAAGGGTGGGACAGGAAGATTACTGTCAGAATTTGAGGCAGAACAAATAAATACCTGACAACCCTCTGGAGATCCTGTGAGATCTGAAGTCGGAGCAAGCAGCGCAGAGCCCGGCGGCTGGGGAGCTCCAGACACGTCTCAAATCGTTAAAATAACAGTATCTGCTGAAACTAGAAAGAAACTTGGAGACAGAACAGTGCAAAGAAAGTGTTCCTGGGATGTGTGTGAACCTGCACCTCACATGCACCAGAATCCACGCTGGCGAGACACAGAGGACAATGAGGAACCTGGTCCTGCCATGCACACACACACACACACACACTCACACACACACAGTTGTCAGCTTTATTCTTTTTATAGAACACAATCAGTATTTCTCCACCGTCAAAAACAATAATAACAGGAATTCTCAGATGGAATACTCCCAACTCACAGGAGGAGCCCTGTTTGTGAGTCACACTGAGGAATTCACCGCCAGGGTACTTGGCTTCTGAGAACTCGTGTGCATCACGGCCCTGAGGCCTGGTCCTGGGCCTCCTTCCAGAACTAGAGATGTAAACACACTTTGAGGCCGGGTCTCACTCCGATAATCACTTATCTGACACCTTGAACTTTTCTTTTGACAGTACATGCTTTCTTCTCTTGCCTTTTGATAAAATTTGGAGTAGTCGCCAGAGGAATAGAAATGTTCTTTAGATTCTTCTTGGCCACGTTCCTGCGTTTTCTAGGCGTTCCAAACCTTAAGAATCAAAAAGAAAGCGATTAATGTTTTAAGTGACACTCTGCCTGAATATCCAATTCTGTGGAATTGGGGTGGTAAGCCTCGGAATGCGGAGAAGGATTACTAAGGATTCTGTCTTTATTGCCACAAAAAGTAGCGGTGTATAATTTCCCCTGCGTTCCGTGCCTCTGACGTCTAACAAAACCCCGAGTATTCCCTAACTGCTTGGAATTCTTCCCTTGCTGTTACTGCAGTTCGAAAGAGTGAGGGCTGCTCTCCATTTATAGCAGCGACTGAGAGCTCTGCTCAGACGCGGGAGCTCGGGTGGAGGCCGGCCCGGCACACGGAGCGGCCAGGGAGGCGTGACTCCAGAGCAGGGGAAGAGCAGCCAGCGCTGACTCCCGGTCCGGCCGCTGCCCACCTCTCTGACGGCTGGGAGTGTGGAAGCCGGCCAACCAGGGAGCCCTTGGGCAGTGAGAAGCGTGCAGATGGAGGGTTGAGGAACCGGTCTTGAGAAACTCAGTGCCCTGCAGGCATTTAAAAATAACAGACATACTAATGCACTGTAAGCCTGGGCTCCCAGAGAAGCTCAGTTCTTTTGGGGTGGCAGCAGGTCCCCTCGAGGGGAGCCTACAGCATAACCTGGAAACCACTGCAGGACCCTCCATCCCCACGGGGCTCTGCTCCCCCTTGCTCGTTCCTGTTGGGGCATCATCCCCATGGTGCCCTACTGCTCCATTTATTTGTCAAGCAGAGGAGTCTAAGTGCTAAGAATGAAAAAGGCATAAGACAATGTCTTGACGTCTGAAGAAGACCACTCAGGAATCATTCTCACCAGAGCCATGACTTACACACGTAACAACTAACCAGCTAGAGTAGCAGGTGCATCGTATGAGAAGCATGTATATGTCACAAGGATTCTAGAGAAGGAAAAGCATAGAAGTAAGACTTTTCGATCAAAGTACATGCTTGTGATATTATTTTGTTTCATGAACACATTCCCAATAAACCTTTCCCTCAAAGGGGCATTGGATATGGTTACTTATCTGGTATCCATCAAACCTTCCATTGACGGAACTTTTCCAAAACCCCTACTAAAGTGCACACAACCAGAGGACAGGGAATTTTGTCTGGTCTGCTCACTAATGACTCCAGGAAGTTATAAGTATGCCTGATACATAATGGGTATTTAATCACTACTTGTTAACTAAATGAATACAATAACAACATCGGTGGTGTTATAAAACTTGACAGGTTACAAAGCACAATCACATCTATTTTCTCCGTAGCCCTGTAAGGTGGGGTACTATTATTATTTTCATTTTGTGGGAGAGGAAGTCAGTGTTCCGCTACTGCCCAGAGTAGATAAATTAGTAATTTACAATTTACTAGTTTGGCCACAATTCCAGCTCACCGAGTCCTGGTCCCACTGCCTTCCCATCACCCCCCAGGTGCTTGCCGTAGGAAGAAAATATCTGGGGCCAAAGGCAGCCTCACTGACACATCCTTGTGGCTTGTTTCAGGTGGGTCTTTTTCGAAAATCAGGTGTGAAATCTCGAATCCATGCCTTACGTCAAATGAATGAGAACTTCCCTGAGAATGTCAGCTATGAGGACCAGTCCGCTTACGACGTAGCAGACATGGTGAAGCAGTTCTTCCGGGACCTTCCCGAGCCTCTTTTCACCAACAAGCTCAGTGAGACCTTCCTCCACATCTACCAGTGTAAGTGGTACAGTGCCCAGCCTGCTCTTAAGTGCATCCATTCACCTAAAAAAAAAAAAAAAAGGTACATAGATTGAATTTTAATCCTACAGGTAATACATGCGTGCGTGCTAAGTTGCCTCAGTTGTATCTGACTCTTTGCAACCCTTTGGATTGTAGCCCACCAGGCACCTCTGTCCATGGGATTCTCCAAACAAAAATACTGGAGTTGGTTGCCATGCCCTTCTCCAGGGAACCTCCCACCCAAGGATCGAACCCACGTCTCCTGTGGCCCCTGCATTGCAGGCAGGCTCTTTACCACTGAGCCACCAGGGAAACCCTACAAGCAATGCATGAAGTATATAAAAGTTACAGGAGTAAACTTTGTTCACACTTTGATATGAAAATCTCCAGGCTGTATTTTATGCATTTGAAAATACCTTTTGACATAAAAATCTTCCTTCTCTCAATAGGGGTTTGTGTAAGATATATTAAAAAAAAAACAACTAACTTTCAATGTAATTTTAATAAACTTAAAGTAAAAAGGGACACAATAGAATTTATTTTACATACAGGTGTTTTTCAAAAGAAAGCATTTCCTTGGTATATGTGAAATCCAGATGTGTTAAAATGACTAGGAAATCAAGGGCAAACTGTATTTTAATACCATGCATTTTAACTGGTGATAAGTAAGCAAAGCAAATCAAGGCTTAAGCTTAATTCAACTAATTTATATTTTCACTTAGAACTTTTTAAGTGATGTGAAGTTGATAATGCTCAGTGAAGCCCCTATAATTAATAATTGAAAATAGCAATTACTGATTTAAAGGCGTACCCTGCTAAAGGTAGTTGCTAAGGGCAGGAGGAGAAATGAACACGTGGCTTTTTCCTAGCGGCACTGTTATGTTTATACAGCATTCGCATGGGCTTCCTTTCAGGACTCCCCAAGGATACTAACGTCCCACCATCAGTTTTCCTTCTGTATCCTCAATTGGGCATCCAAGGATTCAGACAACTTCAGGTCATAAACACAGTACAGGATTCACAGTTCATTGAATCTGCAAATTCAAGACCCAAGTATAGGAAGAGCTGACTGTGTATTTATCAGGAAAAAGCACTCGCCTGTTAAGTGAACCTGTGCAGGTCAAACCATGTTGTTCAAGGGTCAGCTATAAGTATTTAATGGTCCAAGTCTCATTTCTTCAGGAAAAAAACACTCAGCCTGTGGATTTTTGAGTTTTTAGCAACATATGCATGAAATGGACCTTGTCATGAAATTGATCCAACTCGAAGAAGATTCCTGCTTATTGAGAATTCTGTACTAAATGTATTTTAGGAGTTTGCAATATTGCAAACAAAAAGGATTATAACAAGTACCACTTGTTAAAACAGGATAAAGTAGTGACCCACTAAATAAATATTATCTTGTCAAAATGAATAGGTCAAGTTAGTGATACACATTGCTGAAGCCTAAATACAGGGAATTCATGTTTCTGCCATAAGAGGTTTTCATAAGAGGTTGAGCTGTGTTTTTTCAGGAAAACCTCCCTTGTGGTTTGGAAGTAGCATATATGGGCCTTTACATGAAATCAGTTCTTGGGTTATGGTTGACATTAGTATAAGGTTAAAGCCAGATTATTTCCAAGAGATAAATGCTTTCAGCTCTTTGTGAGACTCACAAGCAAAAAAAAAAAAAAGATCAAAGCAGGGTTTATTTTCTCTGAGCAAACATTTACTGACTTCAGCTTATGTTCAGGGCACTGTGCTGAGCACTGCAGAGCACATGGATGGGTAAGACTTAACTCTGCTCTTAAGCATCTTACAACTTAGGGAGACAAGACGTACATAGATAACTGCAATACAGCAAGACTGGAGACATTCCATGATAAGTTACAAAGAACTCCCAAGGGGGTTGAGATGAGGAATAAGGACTTGATGGAGAGGTGACAACTAAAGGTTGAGATACACAAGGAACACATGCTGACTGAAGCAAACAGCACATGTGTCAGGCGATTATAGGATTTCCATCTGGCTTGCAGAAGGGTAACTGTCCAGTGAAGCATCAAATGACTCCAAAAATTAGACTGAGGCCCGTACCCAGGAAGGGCACTGAACATTAGAGCAGAGGGCTTATATTTGATTCATTAATCACTGGAGAACCTTTGGGTGTTGTTGAGGAAGATGACCAGTTACGATGCTCTCAGCTATAAACACAGGCCCAAAAATCCAACAAACAGTTGTTTAAACAATAAAGACATTATATAATTGCACAAGACAGAAAATCTGGAGTTGAATAATTCCAGAGTTGGTTAATTCAGGGACACCATGGCTGAAGTGCGCCTCTCTTGATTATCCCCTTAAGGTCACAATAGGACTTGCCACAACTTAGCGTTATCATGTCTTCCCAAAATCACATCCAAAGGCAAGAGGCCAGCAGACGGGATCTCCTCAGGCATGTGTCTGTTTCTGTCAGGGAGATAAATTTACAGAAGCACCTACCTAGCAGTTATCTTGGTCCCACAGGCAAGAAAGTATACATTTTTCTAAATGTATACCTAAATCAATCACTGGAGAGAAGAACGGGGTTACCATTTTTGGTTTAGGCCAGTGTGGGTTGGAGGGAAGGGCCCAACCTCCCTGAGCACAATACAGCCCAAACCTGAACAGAACATGGCCTTTCTTAGAGAGGAAAGAGAGAGCAAGTATTTCCCAGGCAGCCAAGCTTGTGCTGCAGGGCCAGTGTCCATCAGAACTGCTTATTTGATCCGTGAATCCGGAAGTGGTGAACAGGAGCTACCGAACGGGACAAGAATGGAGGGTCAGGTAGCCAGCACATTGATTGAGGCTCTGAGTGACCTGCGGTGACTTCTAGTAGCCAGACTAGAAATAACAACGTTCCAGGGATAGACTCTGGAGTCAAGAGTTTTCCAATGACTGTGGGGAAGAGGCCACTCCTGCCAGGTGGCTCAGACAGTAAAGAATCTGCCTACTAATGCAGGAGACATGGGTTCAATCCCTGGGTGGGGAAGATCCCTTGGAGGAGGATATGGCAACCCATTCCCAGTATTCTTGCCTGGGAAATCCAAGGACAGAGGAGCCTGGTGGGCTACAGTCCATGGGGTCAGGAAGAGTAGGACATGACTAAGCTATTAACACTTCACACTTCTTAACTCAAATGAGTTCCTGATAGTATCTTTCACAGTGAGGGGAATAAGGCAGTGAGTCAGTCCTAAAAGTAGAGAAGGCAATGGCAACCCACTCCAGTACTCTTGCCTGGAAAATCCCATGGACGGAGGAGCCTGGTAGGCTGCAGTCCATGGGGTTGCTAAGAGTCGGACACGACTGAGCGACTTCACTTTCACTTTTCACTTTCATGCATTGGAGAAGGAAATGGCAACCCACTCCAGTGTTCTTGCCTGGAGAATCCCAGGGCCGGGGTAGCCTGGTGGTCTGCCATCTATGGGGTTGCACAGAGTTGGACACGACTGAAGCGACTTAGCAGCAGCAGCAGTCCTAAAAGATCACTAACAGACACAGCCAGGGGGCAGCAAAATGCAGCACGGAGCACCCATTTTTCTAGGATTTTCCCTCTTAGTTACCTCCTACTGTTCAAGCCAATTCTCTTTCAAGCCCGCATGACCAGGGCCCCCCTCCCCCACCACTACCACCACCACCGTCACCACAGGGACCACCCAGAAGGAGAACAGCTTGAGAGGAGGGGGGACCTGGTTCCCCTTCCCACAAGCCCTGTGCATCCTGAGAGATACTTCACAAGCTGGGGAGGGAGGGAAATGGGCAAGAGGTTTGAAACAGCTGAGGTGGCAGACAGGTGCGTATGAAGCCAGCACAGGGTGCTCCTTGCGAGTCCAGCCTTGTCATTAAGACCGTGAGTTCTGGAGTGAGACTGGGGGTTCCGATGCTGGGTCCAAAGCAATGACTCCTTTGTGCCCCCAGCTGTCCTCACGGTCACTGTTGATGATGATGAGGACCCCGAGCATGTTTGCAGGAAGGTAGCACACTCTCCCCCTCCCCTGCCGGCTCCTTCTGCTGCTGGCCCTCTGACGGCCTGGCACCCACTTTTTCACAGATGTCCCCAAGGAGCAGCGGCTGCAGGCAGTGCAGGCGGCCATCCTGCTGCTTGCTGATGAGAGCCGGGAGGTGTTGCAGACGCTGCTGTGCTTCCTCAACGACGTGGTCCATGCGGTGGAAGAGAATCAGATGACGGCCATGAACTTGGCCGTGTGTCTGGCCCCCTCCCTCTTCCACCTGAATTTACTGAAGAAAGAAAGCTCCCCCAGGTGGGTTTTTCTCAATAGGAATGCTAATTCTAAACCAGGTATTCCCCAGGGCTACTTAAAAAAAAACTACATTCATTGCACTTCAACCTGGGGATCTGTTAGCACTTCGTTTATAATCAGAAAATGTTTGGAGGAACCTGATTCTTGCGGCTTAGGGTCAGAGAATTACCCAGGTAGCATTGAAGAGTGTCCTCTGTGATCCAGAAAACCTGGAATCCTGTTCTGTTTTGTGTGTTTGTGAGTGAGAAGGAAGGAAAAAGTACACAAGGTGGTATTTTACAAAATCTTCAATTTGAAAAGACTGGTTTTCAGGCCCAAGCACAGCAGCTTGCGGTGAAGTAGTTTCAAACTTGGGGAAAAATGGATTAATTTCTCCCCCAACAGTTATTCCTGCCCTTGTGTTTTTCCGAGGTTTTTCATTTGTCAGACTCTTAACCTGTGTCAGGATATCTAAGATGTGTGGTCACTGTTTTTATTTGGAAATGAGAAAGTCTGGAATCTAGATGGCATCCGGGCATGAGGAGATAGCAGAGGGGTGAACTGGGTCCTGTGAAATGCTCTCGGGTTTCGGATCCGCTGAGGATTGTCCCCTTCAATTACAGAGTCATCCAGAAAAAATATGCGGCCGGGAAGCCAGATCAAAAGGACCTCAGTGAGAATCTGGCTGCGGCTCAGGGCCTGGCCCACATGATCATGGAATGTGACAGACTTTTTGAGGTGAGTGAAAGGCTCCAACCGCCTTCCTTATAGCTCTTGGAACTCGATAAGACACTTGGAATGGTTACTGAATTTATGTCTTATTTCTGTTTTTTTTTTTTTTTTGACAATGGTACACTGAATAGTGCCTCCCAGAAATACGAGGAGACAACCCCGAAGTTGAGGCTTTGACAGTTAAAGACACTTGGGTTTACCATGATGATAATGTTTATAAAAACGGTTGCATCAAGTTCCCATGCCAGGTCCTAGGCCAGCCAACTATAGTATATTTGATGTGACCTCAGGACTTGATTAGATTCAATGGATGTGTGTGGGATACTGAACAATTGCTGTTAACTTTGAATCAGTGACAGCTTATGAATACAGACACAGACATGCTAAAGGAGTAAGTGAACTAGACTTCTGGCATCCTTTTTGTGGCAAAACTGGCATTTGCAAAAGGAAAAAGTGTGCTAAAAAGGTAAAGCTATTTTCTGAGTCATGTTTGATGTTCCCCTTAAGTCTGTGCACTTTTTAAGTTTCCTGAGTCCAAGTTTTGCCAAACTGAATAAAAATATATGACAAGTAAAATCAAAGAAAAATGGAAAGGATGAATGGGAAGTCGTGGCGATGTTCTGAATAATAAATATAGCCTCAAACATATCTGGGTTTCCTGACTTTCAGAAGCCCTTTCTCCCGACCGCTGTCACTGATCTCAGACAAACATCTCTTGCCCCATGGCACCCGGCCTGTCAACAGTACCGTGGTTTTCAGTGACGCTCCTTCACTTTCTCTATTAGTCTCAGCATTTCTGTGTTGCTCTTCTGTGTACCTGTTGGTTCAGGTCCCGCTCGAGATGGTGGCCCAGTCTCATAATTCGTATGTGGAGGCTGAGATCCACCCGCCAACTCTGGAAGAGCTGGGGGCCCAGCTGGAGGACAGTGGGGCCACTTTCCACACGTACCTGGAACACCTCGTGCAGGGCCTCCAGAAGGAAGCCAAGGAGAAGTTCAGAGGATGGGTCACGTGTCCCAGCACAGACAACACAGAGCTGGCTTTCAGAAAGGTAACTCGGGTCTTGGGAAGTTACTCCTGAGGAGCCGCAGCGAACCGCCTCCGAAAGTGGCCCCTCTGTCTCCAGGGCGTGTGACACACGGGAACTGGGCAAAGCTCTGCACCAGAGTCTGACTGTGTAATCAGGTGGCAGACTGTGGAGCCACCCTTCTGGACCCAGGCCTGGCTCTGCCCCCAAGCTGTGTGACGCTGGGCGAGTCACACACCTGTCTGTGCCTCCGTGTTCTCATTTGCATAGCAGACATAATAACAGGACCACCACCAGAGAACATATATACACTATGGATACTACGGATAAAATAGATAACTAATGAGATAACCCTGTAGCACAGGGAGCTCAGTGCTGTGTGGTGACCTACATAGGAAGGAAATCCAGAGAGAGGAGATATATGTATATAGGTGATTCACTTTGCAAACACTAAGGCAACACTAGAAAGCCACTATACCCCAATAAAAATTAATTTTAAAAAATGGGAAATAAAAAACTAAAAATCAGAACAATGCTTAGCCCACAGGGAGCACTGTGTGCTGCTGGTTATCGTTTTTATTACCACTCTTCTTCTCTTAAGCTTAAGGGTGAATGAAACCTGAGGTGTACAGAATCACTTTAAAGCTCCGTAGTCGATGAGGCTTTTTGAACACGCAGTGAAGCCTGGTAGGTTCTGCTGGAACCAGCAACGTCTCAGCCGCTGCGGGTTTCTTTCCCCAGGTGGGAGACGGGCCCCCGCTGAGGCTGTGGAAGGCTTCCGCGGAGGTGGAGGCGCCCCCCTCGGTGGTTCTGAACCGCGTGCTGAGGGAGCGCCACCTGTGGGACGAGGACTTCGTGCAGTGGAAGGTGGTGGAAACGCTGGACAAACAGACGGAAGTCTATCAGTACGTGCTGAACAGCATGGCGCCCCACCCCTCCAGGGACTTCGTGGTTCTCAGGTGAGCCTGACCCTCTGCTCCAAAAGCAGGATGAGAGCTGCAGATGGAAGCATTTCGCTGCGTTCTCCCACCTAAGTTCAGCCTCCGCTGGGAACACTAGGGCCGGCCCTTAGTTCATTTCCCTTGGTGAAAACTGACTGCCTTATTCATGCCCGACCTCCTGCTTCGTTCACCCAATTTACAGTTCTGCCACGCTCTCTTATGGCTCCGTTCATTATGGAGCACACGGTTTATTAGGCCATAAATATCGTTCATTTCCTCAGAACAGAGTCCCAAGAAGAGCTGCTGTTTGTCCAGCTGTACTTTCTGCCAAATTATGCAAATTGAATCTCTCTGATTTTTCTCTTGATTTTGTTTTTCTCTGCCTGGGAGACTTTCTCCGAAAGTCTTCGGTGGTGTGGCTCTCCATCTGGAGTGTGTGCAACTTCAGAATTCATCTGTATAACTTCACACGTTCAGAGTGTGCTCAGTCGCTCAGTCGTGTGAATTCTTTGCAACCCTATGGACTGTAGCCCTCCCGGCTCCTCTGTCCCTGGAATTCTCCAGGCAAGAATACTGGAGTGCGTTGCCTTGATCTCCTCCAGGGGATCTTCCCAACCCAGGGATCTAATCCAGGGCTCCTGGATTGCAGGCGAATTCTTCACTCTCTGAGCCACCAGGGAAGCCCTCACGTGTTCATAAGTCATCCCCGTGCATGGAAACCTTGGCCCAGCCCTGAAGGTCCAACTATGCTGAGACATTCGAATGTCCAGAAAGATTTCAGGGCCTGACAAGGCTTGAGACTCTGAGCTCATCCGCCAAAATATTGCTTCTAATAGATTTGTGAGTTGAGTTCCAGACCCCTGTTCTCAGGGTTTAGAGTGGGATGCTCAACTAACAATAGGCAATGGAACAGTGGAACTGTGTGTGTTGGCTGGTGAGTCTGTACTGAATCAGAAAGAATGGGGATGGAGGATACTAACAAACCCCAAAAAATATATAATTAAGTAAATTCTTTTTTTTATTGATAACTGATGGTGAATACCATCTTTTCTCATATATTAGCGGTATTTAAAAAAAAATCACTAGTGAAATCCCCAAATGTATATTTAAAATAGTTTCTTTATTAAACTAGTCTTGATAGCAAACTAAAGATTACTTTTCACATGGGCTATTTCTGCCTTTGAATTTCAAGCATCATTTTTTTTTCCCCCAAGTATACGTGTTCATCTTAGCCACGATGGGATCCTAGTGGAGAATGTGGGCAACTGTAAGCATGGCTTATTAACACAGTTATTGGGACATTACTCATCTCATTGGAACTTAAATTTTACACCTTCACTGCTGCAAGCAAGAAGTCTAATAGTTCCAGGATGGCAGCCCTGGGAACTGGTGGGTTGGAGCCCCGCCATGGCCCACTCTCCGCTCCCCTTAGAGGAGGCTGAGGGCCAGAGTCCATTAATGGAACAGCCCTTCTTCCACTCCTCCTGCAGTGCCACCCGCCTCCCATTTCTAGAGTCTCATTCCATCCCAGCTTTGTGCCAGGCACTGTTGGATACTCAAGATACTACTGTGAACAGACCACAGTCCTGCTATCTTGAGATTTATATTTTATTAGGAAGAATCAATAAAGAATAAGCAAGAGGACTAGGATTTCTTATCTTTTCTGTTGTTGTTCAGTCGCTAAGTCATTTCCAACTCTGTAACCCCATGGACTGCAGCTTACTAGGCTCTCCTGTCCTTCACTGTCTCGCAGAGTTTGCTCAGATTCATGTCCATTGAGTCGGTGGTGCTATCTAATCATCTCATCCTCTGCCGCCCCCTTTCCTCCCACCCTCAATCTTTCTCAGCATCAGGGTCTTTTCTGGTGAGTTGCTGTTGACATTAAATGGCCACAGTATTGGAGCTTCAGTTTCAGCATCAATTCTTCCAATGAATATTCAGGGTTGAGTTCCTTTAGGATTGACTGATTTGATCTCCTTATAGTCCAAGGGACTCTGAAGAGTCTTTTCCAGCACCCCAGTTCAAAAACATCAGTTCTTTGGTGCACAACCTTCTTTATCACCTAGCTCTCACAAGGCTGTGATCCATGAAGGGGTTACTTATCTTAGGGTGATATGTAAGATAGAGGGATAGAAAGGGGTAGAATTTCAAATATAGTGGTCAGAGTAGAGTCTCACTGTGTTGATATTTGATCCAAGACTTAAAGGAGAAGGTGGGTGGACCATGAGGCTGAGGGAGGAGAACTCGCACCCAAGAAGATGAATAATGAACCAGACATGTTGCTTGCAGCAGGAATTCCTTGTGGTTATGATACGAGAGGTAGAAAGTGCCATGGGTGGTCTCCTTTCCGGATTACCATGTTCATGTCTATGTCATCCCATTCTCTAGTTCCTCAGGAGGTTCCAGTGATAGTCACTGAAGCCTTTTTTCCATTTTATCCCCACAAATCTATGCAACTTTCAGTCTTTGTTCTTAGTCACAGCATCATGCATGAAAAGAGAATGGTCATACCCATGCAGAAGTTGCTAAGAAATTTGTGTTGGGCTTGCTTATTCCCAAGTTTCCTGGTAATATGTTTCTTGTGTGGTAGAAGAGGATGAAGTTATAGATGAGATAACTATCAAGCAAGGGGATAGGATTTGTGACATAATAACTGAGATTATAATAATCAAACCTATATCCTGTGGTAGAAATGGTTGCAACAGAAATGCTCTCATGGTTCCTGACTTCCATCTACAACCTTTTCCCAAATGGTACCCCCTTCTATGTTTGAATAGCTCCAGTAACAGTGAGCTCACTACTCCTTATTCAGTCCATTCCATTTTTGAAGAGTGCACATTGTGAGACAGTTCTTCTCTGCACTGGATTGAAACATGCCTTCATTATCTCTGCTTTCTGGAGTCAAATCAACTGTATTTATTTCTTCTCCCACTCAGGAGCCTCTCAAGGATTTGAAGGCAGTTAGCAGTCCACATGTGTCTAGTTTTCTTCTAACTGAGCATCATCAGCTCATGTATCCTTTCAGACTTGAGTGGAGCATCACCTCCTCCAGGACGCCTTCCTGTGTGCATGATCTCAGAACTCTCCTTGCACAGCCTATCACTGTGCTTGTCAGAGTGTTTTAGAGTTCTCTCTGGAGGTCTGTTTCTCCTCCTGATTAGATCTTTGTGTCTTCAGTGGCTTCTCATAGTTTGGCACATCCAGTAGATGTTTGGTGAAAGAACTGAATGAGCAAGTCCCGATTCCCAAATGGTGGGACCAGTGAGCCCTTCAGGAATGTGCAGGAGTCTCTGCAGCCTCAGTTGGGATTTGGAAAGAATCTCTAAAAACTGCAAAGTCGTTTCTGACCTCTGGATCGGAGGGATGAGAACCCTGCTTTGCACCGCACTGTGTAAACTTTACACACACTTGTGAGAACCATTAACTGAATCCAAGTAACTGGGCTTGGAATCTGAGCAAGAAAATGTCAGCGTAAGCCTCAGCACTGTGCTTGGGTTTCCTTTCTCTCTCGGCCATAGTTCCCACATGTGGGTTTGTTTTGCTGCAGAACCTGGAAGACTGACTTGCCCAAAGGAATGTGTGCCCTAGTGTCCCTGTCCGTGGAACACGAGGAAGCCCAGCTCATGGGCGGCGTGCGGGCTGTGGTGATGGACTCTCAGTACTTGATAGAGCCGTGTGGTTCGGGCAAGTCGCGGCTGACCCACATCTGCAGGGTGGACCTGAGGTGAGTGTGGGCTCCTGGAGGTGGCAGGCACAGGGCCCTCTTTCCCATCTGATCCCTTACTGCTCTGTCCTTCTCTCCTCCTGCCCATTAACACGTTGTCTCGATGATTACGAATCATTCCCCCCACTTCTCTTTCCAGCCTTTAGCCTTGCTAAAATTCTGACTTTCAGGAGAGGCTCCCATGCCCGTCTTTGTTTTCCATTTTGTCCCATGTGTACTCCTGTGCCTCTCTCACGGGCAGACGCCAGCACTGGAGCCTGGCACATAGTGGATGCTCAGTAAACACGAGTCCTCTTATGCTTCCTCCCAGCCTGTCTCTTTTCTGCTCCCTCCAGTTGCCCTCCTGTGAGAAGGAACTAATTGAAATCCAACCTTTTTCAACGCACTCATGATGCTAAACTGAGTTCTTGGTCTGGGTGGATATAAACTGGGTTTTCTCCATAAATTCTTGTTAAGTCAGACTCGTCCCTGAGAGGACGCTATCATTTGAAAGCACCCAGTGAATCCTGCAAAGACAGACTGAATCCTTGGCCAGGAAGGCATTTTCACGGGCCCCCATTGACAGAATGAGGTTCTCAGATCCTCGGAGCAGCAGCCCCTCGGGGAAGGCAGGCGGACTGACAGGCAGGGCACAGGCGCAGCCGTGTCGACCGTGACAAACTGTTGTGATGTGGAAGAGGCTTTCCCACTTCCCTCCCCGTTTTTGTCCCCACAGAGGTCACTCCCCAGAATGGTACAATAAAGGCTTTGGACACCTGTGTGCGGCAGAAGTTGCCAGGATTAGAAACTCTTTTCAGCCCCTCATTGCTGAGGGTCCAGAAACTAAAATCTGAGTTTTCCCAAGTGTGACATCAAACTCAGGGAAGAGGAAGCAGAAGCAAACAATTGTGGGAGAGAGTGTGAGAGTGAGAAAGCAAGAGAGAGAGAGAAACCGATTGACAAAGTTAATGCTCAAAAGCAGAAGCACTGAGAAGTCGGAATGTCAAAGATGCAAGAATTTCTGAGAACTTTTCCTAGCCTTCCTGGAGACGGCTACATCCCTACTAATATAATATTTTTAAAAATCAGAACATTTATCTATGTTACTTAAGATTAAATGGATTATTCCTTGTGCATTTGCTAATTTTGCTATTTAAAGGCTTCTAAGAAGCATTATCATTAACTGTAAATAAATGTATGTATAGCATATGTACATATGTGTGTATATCTCTATCTTTACTGTATATATGTAAAATATCAACTTTATATATAATTGCATATTTTGAAAAGGAATGCATCTGATCAGGTGAGTCCCTTCCCCACATGGTTCTTTCCAAGTCTCTCTCGGCCCTGTGTCCCCACTGCCCTGTAAGCTGAGCAGAATCTGCTGCTAACACCAAAGTATGAAAACAAGTTGTCCGCCCTGATGTTTTACCAAAGATTAGCCAACCAAAGGAAAACACATTAAATGGTTCTCACGTGTTGTCAGTTTGTATCATTCAAAACCTGAAAGTGGGGTGTTGGATAAAGCAAGGAAAATAATAGCCCTCTTTAAAGCAGAGAAGTGGGTGAGCAGTCGTTACCAGATTTAAGACTATCTTACCAGTTGCCATGGGGCCGGCAGATACAGTTTCAGTGAAATGCCAGACACCCATGGACCACTGGAGTCAGCTCTAGTGACTGAAACAGAACCTGTATTTCCCTGCTGATTAGAGCTGGATATAATAGCCTTGGCATATTCACAGCCAAAGGGAGCCTCTGTGTTTTGTTGAGGTTTCATAGATACATTGCATAATGTTCTTAAATGTCATTCTGTTTGACCAGTGGCCTATTTAACGGTCACAGTTAATTGACATTTTCTTACCAACGTCTTGCACTGAATTTAACTCTGGACACCAGATAAAGGGAGATGCTGGTCACTGAAGAGTCCTGGACCTTACAGCTTCAGGGAGTTCTAATATTGCTACGTATGATGCTCTTAAGATATTACTCGTTAAAGTTCCGCAATATGAAAGACAGGGTTTTAAACTAACATTAAGACCAAAACTGTGTTCTTCAATTAGCTTTAGAAAATATAAACAGGTTTGTTAAGTCCATGTTTCTTCATTAGTCAGTCAAGCTAGCTATGCATTTGACTGAACCTTATTTATTATTGTATGGACTAAGCAAATTGACTATCCTTAACCAATTGCTGATGGATTTTAAGTTGGGTTTTTTTAATTGTAATTCCGCAACTCTAGAGAGGAAGATAATTTATTGTGTTTGATTTCAGGGAGAGATTGGTATCATAATTTAGCAATTGGTGTTGGAGGGGAAAAAAAACAGTGTTTTCTTTTTATATTGTATGTTTATGTAATGTTTTCTTTTATCAGCGATGTGCAATTCTTTTATTGAGAGGAATAAAAATGCTATAAATGAGTTCTGGATGGTACGAGTAAAATCATACTGTCTGAATTGTAATCGAGGAATTTGTTTTGTTCCCTTGCCTACCGAAGAAGGTGGCGGCAAACCCGTAGTTTTCCATTTGCGCACTGCTCTGCGAGCAAAACAAATCCACATCCTAAATTTAACCACACATGCCAGATTACAGACAGGATTGTTAGTGAATTTTAATTTAGCTTAATGCTGGTCCCACTCCAGAGATGGGCTCGCGTGTTTTCAGGAGGTGTGACGGGCACAAAGGATGAACGGTGTCGGGTCACCGAGAGCAGGGCTTTTGCAGCCTTAGCAGCACACGGATCACCTGGAGATCTTGTTCCAATGAGCCTCTGATTCAGGCAGTCTCAGGCAGGCCTGAGATTCTGGATTCTGAACCAGCTTCAGGGCAAAGACCGCAGCCTGAGAAGCCGAGATCTAGAGGCCACTTAGAATAAAAACAACATGATTTGATTTCTGACTCCCTTTTTCTTCAAATTACCTTTTTATTTTTTATGCACATACTAAGTACACCCCTGCTGCCTACAACACAGTGCATCTTAAAAAAAAAACAAAAAAAGAGGAGAAAGATGCATCAAGCTTGTTGTCAAATACCACAGTATTTTATGCATTGTTATCTTGCCAATGGAAATAAAATATACTGCCTTTAAATAATATATTTATACCTCATGTATATCTTTACCTCAATTGTTGGTATCAATCATCAATTGTAAATAACTAATTGCCAAGGCAAATAAATTTATATACATTAAATATACCCCTCTTTTCTCTATAATACATGTTGAGTTTCATGCTTCATCATATAAATGAAAAACCTGCTTCCTGAGGAAGATTTCTCTATAAAATTGCATGCCATTAAAAAAAAGAAAAAAGCTCACCATGAGTTTGACACCTCTGTACTGTAGTCAAATCTCTCCTGAATATAAAGATTTATATAAAAGTATAGATTGTTATCTACAGACCTTCACTAGCACTATGGGTGTCTTAACCTGTATCTAAACCATTACAGTGATGAATAGAGGTTTCTTTTACATTTCACTGTTCTAAAATCTGGAGTTATAAGAACACCTTTATAGTATTTTATGAAGGATTCTGTGAGCTCTAGCTATATTCCCTTTTTTCTGAGTGCACAAGAAATTGAGACTTGATGATGCAACTTATGGCAGCACCACTGGACCATGAAGAGTAACCAAACCTGAGTCTAAGCCTCTGGCTTTGCATCCTTGTACAGTGCAGTCAGCCCTCCATATCTGCGGGTTCTGTGTCCAAGGATTCAACCAACCACGAATCAAAAATACTCCAAAAAATGAAAAACAATTTCAGAAAGTTCCAAATGAAACTTGAATTTGCTGTGCACTGGCAACTATTTACATAGCATTTCCATTGTATTTACAACTATTTACATATCATTTGCATTGTGCTAAGTATTATAAATAATCTAGAGATGATTTAAAGTATATGGGAGGATGTTTGTAGGTTATATGCAAATACTACAACACTGAATATTCATTGGAAGGACTGATGCTGAAGCTGAAGCTCGAATAATTTGGCCACCTGATGCAAATTGCCGACTGACTGGAAAAACCCCAATGCTGGGAAAGACTGAAGGTGGAAGGAGAAGGGGACGACAGAGGATGAGGCGGTTGGATGGCATCATTGACTCAATGGACATGAGTCTGAGCTAAAACTCTGGGAGATAGTGAAGGACTGGGAGGCCTGGCGTGCTGCACTCCATGGGGTCACAAAAAGTTGGACATTATTGAGTGAACAACGAAAAATAATACCTCTTTATATAAACAACTAGAGCAATCCCTGGGTTTTGGTACTTGAAGGGGGTCCTGGAACCAATCTCCTGCAGACACTGAGGGATCACTGTACTTGTTCTAAGCTTTACTTCTAAAAGATGACAAAAGTAGCCTCTAATTAAGCAATCAGGAGCTCTCAGTCTCCACTAAGGCTAAAAAAGTCACAGCAGCCCCAAAAGACCATATGCCCCCATAGAAATGATATAAACTCTGCCCTCTGCTCCTCTCCTTCATGCTTTTTCCCATTACTTGCAAGTTTTGCTTTCATAGGCAAAAGGAGGAATTCCCACTGTCCCTTTCCCTCCTCTTTGTGAAAAAAGAACATGGTCGTCATTCTAGCAGCCACACACAACCAGTGTCTTTCAGGGACCCTAGAGCATATGAATTCAAACTTCATTCTGAGTCTACCTCATGAAATTCTTTGGTGTGAAACTGTTCTACTTCTGTCTTTTGATATCTGGCAACACACACACATACACATACACACAAAATCAGTCATCTGATTTCTTCTCAGAAAGTTAACGTGAAGGGATAAAACAGACCCTGGCCAAGTGGAGTAAGTCTGTTCACCCAGTGCTTGCAATGACTCTGAACTGCCCGGGTGGCGGTGCCCAGCCACCAGCAGGACGTGTCTGAGACATTAAGAGAGTGACCAGGACCCACAGCTAGAGGTACAACCCATGTTCACTTCAGTTGTGCTGTCCCTGCCTCTCCTGACAAGCACAGAATGGTCCAATGACACCAAGCCACTCTTCCACATCTCTGTGAATTGGCATGGACCTTCTCCCCTATCTTGTTGGTCATGTGATAGCCTATCAATTTCTCAGAACCCTATTTGGGCATCATTTGTTCCATGGGCTTTGCTGACCACCCATCTGAAATCCACCTGCTTCCTTAACAGTACTCTTATTGCATGAACCACATCATTTGGCAATAAATCTAACTCTCCCACTAGACTGTGAGCTCTTAGGGACATGGACCATGTCTTGGCTCTGAAACTCCATCTCTTAGGACACTTTATGCTACACCATTCTATAAGTATTTAAAATGAACTGGGCATCTGAAAACTGGGCATAAAGATGACAGAAGCCATTCTGGAAGTCATAACCTAGTATGGAGTATTCCAAAGCTAGTGAAATAACTCACATTTTGCATTTGGCTACTTCAGCTCTCCTATAGCACTGAGAATGGCACCTGAGCTGGTCTTCCAAGAAGTTAAATGTGGCCGTTTCCGAAATTAGCAAATGCTGAACATCTGCTTGCAGAAAATAGGACAGTTTGATTAGTTCATTCATTTGGCAAGTATGCGTGGAGAACTCAAGATGTGCCAGACACTGTTCTAGGCATTCAGTAAATAAGACAGTGAATAAAATCAGTGAACAAAACAGACCAAACACAAACAAACAAAAAAAAAAACCCCTGTCCTCGCAGAACTTATGGTCTAGAGGAGAAAACAGCCGAGAAACAAGATAAATAATTGACCAGGGGAGCTCCACAGAGGAAAATAAAATTAGAGGAAGGAGACAGATTAGATAGTCAGGGAAACACTTACCAAGGGCCTGGAGTAAAGAACTACTCAAAAGGACGCGCTGTTTTATTATCTTCCCTCTGGC